ACCGCGATGCTATCCAACTTGAAGACTATTTCGAAATCCTCTGGATTGACTACTGTCCTGATTGCGATCATGCTTGGGTTGATATACAGCACGAATCTGGTATTCGTGACTACTATGATTTAGATTTCTTCGAGTCTAAGTGTTTCCTTAGAGTTTCCTCTTGTCCCTGGTGTGACACTTACGATGAAGAGTTTTTAGCGGAAACCAAAGCCCTTAGTTTCTCAGACTCTGCTTTTGATGATTATTAGGTTTTGTTTGTTTAAACAGTTGTTTTGTTTTGGGGAATGTAACCGGTACGGGTACTGAGTTATTGGTTTTGTTTTATGTTTTGTTTTAAGTATCACTTTGATACTTGGTTTGTTTTAAGTATCGTTTGATACTTGGTTTTGTTTTATGTTTTGTTTTAAGTATCGCTTTGATACTTGGTTTGTTTTAAGTATCGTTTGATACTTGGTTTTGTTTTATGTTTTGTTTTAAGTATCGCTTTGATACTTGGTTTGTTTTAAGTATCGTTTGATACTTGGTTTTGTTTTATATTTTGTTTCAAGTGTCGCTTTGACACTTAAAGAGTTTTACCAAAGTGTATCGAGTGATACCTTTGATTAGTTTCGTTCATCTTAAGACATGAACAGATTTGTGTATTTAAAGACCGCCTGTCTCTACGATAGAAAGAGCAGACTTCGACAGACAGTATTTCAATATACTTGGTTGAACGGTTACTTCTTTGTTCCTCAGTACACCCTCGAAGCCTCCTTTAGTTCTCAGCTCTCGCCTCCTCTCTGGAAGAGCAGGCCACCTGCCAACTATTGTATCTATTATTGATAACGTGATTAGCACCTTGCGAACACATTACAGAAAGGAAAAAGACTGATTTTTGTTAGTATACTGTAAAAATTATATTATATGATTAAATACAATATAAAAAAAATATCTATTTATTATATCATATACACATATAAGTCTTACTTTGCTTTGAAAATTTTTTATCTCAAGTAAAAACCTAGTAGAAAAGTTATCAAAACACCAAAATTGAAAATAAATTAATAATAAAAAATGTGTAATGAATACAGAGAAATTCTGTACATAAAACAAAAATTAGTTTCAGATTTAAACCTGTATCTGGATTTGTTTATATATGAAATTCACAAATTGGTAGAAGGTAGATATATAAAAGAGAAGAATACAGGCTTGTTGATAACAATTAAAATAGGAAAGAGCTATCCACTACCATGGTAACAATGTTGCTTCAATATTGGTTTAATATAGGATGCCTGTAGCTCTTTATTTTATACTTGAAATATTAGAGCATCAAATTGGTATACCTGAAGTTTTACCCTTTGCCCTTTTAAGAGAGGGTCAACATGTAAAAAGCTTGGTCATCATAATATTATTATGACCTTAGTGGAATTATGTATATAGAAGGATTAATCATTCTATAATTTCAAGTATCTTGACCTGTTGAACTCTCTTGCTTCTTATTCTACAAGTGACTTTAATTCCATTTCTATTGGCTTCCAAGTAGAAGTACGATATGACACTAATTAAATTATTCACGTACTATACAGTATCATACACTGGACACTTACTGACCAGTCCCCACCCCTAAACAACACTCCACAGTTCTGAACCCCCCACCCGGCGTGAAGGTAAAGGTCGGGGACAGACAGACTTTTATTTTCGGCGAGTACACGCTATCAATTTACCAGTGGAATTTCAGTTGGCCAGCCCACGATAGGTTTTGCTCGATGGATTAAGAGAATTGCGAATTCCGGATAAGATCCAACACATCTAGTGAGCCGATCTTATACCGTGTCAGGAGAGAAGGGGCAACCCATCGTCTCTGTCCTCCCACACACAAAACCCAGGTTGTCTCATTCGGCCTTCCCCCTCCCTTCCTTTCCTCCCCTCCATCCCTCCCTCAAATAAACTAATCCTCATTCTCAGCGGGACGGGTAGGTAAGTTAGTGTTGGTTGATATGCGGCGCCATTGCTCGGGATTATCTGCCGATACGATGGTTAACATTGGCCGTGTCAGATCCTGTTGGTTGTGCATGAGATTGGTTCGGTATGAGGTTTTTCCCTTTCTCCTCGTCGTAACGGTGGCGCTTATGGGTGGGTTTGTGCTATTTAGTCTACTGTACGGTACAGTACCGTGGTGGTGGTACTTTACCGCCATCTGGTCATGAGTATCTAAGAACACTGCTATTATTACACAATCACTCTGCCAGCGGATAAAATCCCGTTTAATTTTTCGAATACCTTATGCCAGACGCAAGTGCTTTACTTACAATCCTATGGAGCGGTTTTCCGGCGCTTGAAAAAGTCGAGTTCTGCGCGGCAGGGGCAACTCTGCACTCTTGCCCGAGTTGTATGTAGTATCGAACAATTGCAAATAATAGTAATCTACTATTTATACAGAAGCCCAATCCGACGCACCTTACAAGTGTTAGGCAAGAATGTTTCGTACAAGAACAGAGATAATTTGCTGGTTAACTATGGATACCCCTATCTTGTACTTGTACGAAAACATCTTGCCTGGCACTTGTACAATGCAAGCGAATGGTGGACTACTCGTACATTGGGCCATCAAGCCCGAAATTCAAAGCCCGAAATTCAAAGCCCGAACTTCAAAGCCTGAACAGGTGCACACACACACACTTCTGGAACTTCGTTCCGCCGAACAGAAAATAAAAGGTAAAAGGTGAGTTATCACTGGGAAATACGATTTCCTATCAGCTTTCCCGAATCTAAAGTATATACTCCAGGAAGGTGTCCGGTCATCTGTCATCACTCGGAAGGGTTGTTTAGGGATTCTGGGTTATTGCTCACTGGCGGACACTGTGCTAGTACAGATACGAAACCCCGATCCGGGCTATCACCAGGGCTTGGAAGCACTCCTTGTGGATCAACTCGCCCCCTCCCCGTTCCCGTTTCTTTTTACAGGCTAGCCACTTTATTTATGCTTGCTCGTACCCGCGCCCGGGGTTTTAATTTGCGATTTGTGGTGCCCGCTGATACGATACTTGGGAGTGGGGTGTGGGTGATTGGGGGGAACCGGGAAATTTCGGATGGTGCTTAGAATTTCTGATAATGGTTGGTATGGGATGATTGCTGAAGGGATTGTACCCCGGTGCAACGTGCTTGTTCATTTAGTGGTTTGAATGGGTGACGGGAATTGTTGAGGTCTAGTGTTATATCGTATAATACATATAGAATTCGAGGGAGTTTCTACTGCGTACGAGTAGTGCAGGGCAAGTTGTGGGTGCGAGGTGGACTGAATCTATGTACTCATATCTATGTTGCAGTTACCGGTTTGGTAGTGGATTTCTCTGCCCTACGAGCCGGAGTTATCATTTCTTATTCCTCCTCTTCTTCCTTAGGTTGTGGTTAATATTTATCGCCTTGTAGGTTTGTTTGACTCGCAGGACACAAGGTGTATCATCCTATCCAGTGGGTAGAGGTACTGTACTCCGATCAGTAGAGATGCTACGAACCCGAGTGACTGCAAGCCCTAGTGCAGTTTGTCATCCCGAAGGCGTAAGCTTTCTTGACCTGGAACATTATGATACCATGCGCCAGTTTCGCAATAGTGAGTATGATACTATTCGCTACCACCCCGGCCATCCCCTGCTCTGATTAGAGTTCAAACCCTCTGGGTTATACGACCTCGTAAATACCGTCGTGTATTAGCACCGGACACACTGGTGGATAGGAAGGGTCCTGTGTAGGGTAAAACTGGGAGAAATGCGGGTTTATTAATGTTGAGTGCTGAGTGTTGTAAGGTATGAGAAACCATCTTAGCTATGATATGTTGGTGAAAGAGTATGACTGTGTTAAGGGTAAACCTATGGATGTGCACACATGTTAGTTCTTTTGGTTAGCAGACTCGCTCCTGAGAACGAATAAGAACCTTCACATCTACCTTCCCGCCCAACAATTGAATCCATTTCCCCTTCTATGCCTTCTGCCATTTCAGAAATTAACCCAGAAACTTTCCGAGGAGAGCACCCACAGGTAACATTCTAGGGCAAAATGGCAGGTCATCGGTCCCCCCAAACACTTTTGCCACCTAGCATCCCTCTCGTATTTAAACCCGCGACGCAAACTTATCTCCCCCCCGTTCTTCTTCCCTCAACGGCACGATCAGCGATAAGCATCAAGTTGCCTACAGGCTGCGCCCAAACCGCCAAATTCAATGAGCGGGTGATGTGCTGCGGCGCGGCGGCGAATCCAGGAACATTCGAACCCTATCGATATCTCCCGACGAACGGTGTCCTATACGGGGGTTGCCCTTCCGACGGGCGAAATCCAAGACGCCGGCACCCTACCACAGGGTTTTTATTACCCCTCCCCTAAACTAGCTATCATGACTTGGCTCCCGCTTATATGAGTGATTAGTTGTGTGACGTAGTGGTTGGTTCAACCACATCCATCGGATAGCCTCCCAGGGTTCTCGTATGCGAAATCAAATTACTAACGTCTTTTCGGGACCTTGGCGGTGGCGGCGGGGACATCATATAAATACCGGGAGCCCCATAGCAAAAGGCTCCGAAGGAGCGCTGGATAAAAAGCATTCTGGAAGCAAGGGAGATCCTATCGGAGATTCGGAGGTGTCCGGAGGGGAAATATTGGGTCGAAACAGCGATAGATTGGGAAGCCTCGTGGAGAGGGTTTCTAGGGTGCTCAATGGATAACATGGGGGTTTTTTTTCTCACTCGGAATTTCTCAAGGGAGGGATGTCGATGATCGGTGTTTGAGTGTGTCATGATGTGGTCAGTAACTCATGTTTGGTATATGAAACCAAAAACAACACCGATCTTACACAATGGATGGATGGCCGAGTGGTTATGGCGCTAGCTTCAGGTGCTAGTGGGGCAACCCGCGTGAGTTCGATCCTCACTCCATTCAGTTATCTTTTGGTGTTTTTTTTAGTCCTCCTCCATATCTCCGGTTCTTTTATTCGGAGACGTCACCAAAGGGCAGGTTTCTCGAAACGAGAGGAAATGAAATGTCGTGCGTGATTAGCAGGTTTAGGTATTACATCTAGAAAGCAATAAATGGCTATTGTACAAACCCCCCGTAACTATACATCGAACTATTTTTGGGTGTAATAGCGTGGCACGTAAGGAAATGATCGAGTCATTGGTATGGGTGGAAACTATAGCTTGATAGGTGGAGGAAGGGTCAGTGCTACTTGAAATAGCGAGTGACGACTCATGAAACTGGGAAAAGGTAACGAGAAAGGGGATGGTAAGGTAAAAACGCGGTACCCGAATGGACAGGAGTAAGAAGAAAAGAGGAGAATCGATGATACAGAAGGAATACACTAAAAATGCGGACAAAAAAAGGCAATGAAACCTCCATTAGACATGATAAGATAGAGCAGAGCAGTGCCGGGAACCTGACAAAGGAGACAGCAAGTGAACTTTGAAAAGGTGGGGGAAAAGGAGTGAAAGGTTAAGCTAAGAGAGGTAAAGACAGAGGGATATAATTAGGATGGAAGGATCTGCCCCTCATCATTCGTAGCCACCCAATCTTCAAGTAGAGTCCAGAGCCATTCCCATTGTTGCGATTTTCTAGAGCTCTGGCTCGGTCCACCCCAGATACCGCTAAGGCAATTTGACCAACATGAGTTTTCGACCGACCAAAAGGGCCCCGCACTGGATCGGGACCCGTTGGCGAATTCCCAGGAGTGTTGGTCGCTGCGCATGCGCAAGAAGATAAGCGAATTGTAAATGGCCAGAGTGAGCACTAGTCCTAGACCCAGGAAAGTGAGTATACCCCAGGCGGCTCCTGGCTTGGGGCCCGCGCGGAGAATGGAAGCGACTGGAGTTTGGTGCGGGCGGCGAGGGAGCGTTGAGTAGATCCGCTTCGCACTTATCTCGGGGTCAATACCTGATTGGCCCTGAGCGGCTCTAGCTGGGTTCACACTGTCATCGCCATTTCCCCCTCGTGTCGTCCGCATCCGCTTTTCGTTGATGTAGTCCTGAAAGGCATTTGTTCCGGGAAGTTGGTAGTCTGCGTCGTCTAAACTGAAGGCGATGTCCCAGAGCTGTCTCCAGGGCCAAGCGAGAATCCCGAATGGGCTGTTGACACTGACGAGTCCAAAAGCCGCCTTCTCACCCCGTGCAGGCCAAGCCTCCTCGCGGAGGGTTCGGCGCGCAGCACGCTCTGCCCTTGGAGCAAGACCCCAAATCTCTCGAAGGATTGCTTGATCGGGAGGTGTGCTTTGCTGATTAATGAAGTTGGTTAAGAACTCTACGTCGGCAAGTGTGAGTCGAGGTTTATCAGCAAGATCTTTAAGATGGGCCCGGGTTTCGAGTGTAGTGCGGATACACTCAATATATTCGCCATCTATACCAGTGAAGCGAAATTGGCCCACCCAAACCCCTCTTTCATCTTCTACACGAAAGTCACGCGGCTCCTTTCCGTCGCGGCCACCACCACGACCGCCACGACCGCCACGACCACGACTGCCGCGACTGCCGCGACCATCGTCATCTCCACTCGAAGGATCACCTGGTTTCTCACCACCACGGCCACCAGCACGGCCCCCACCACGGCCACCAGCACGGCCACCAGCACGGTTACCACGACCACCATCGCCATCTCCATCTGAAGAACTGTCCGGATGATTACTACCACCAGCCCCACCGGCAACACCATCACGGCCACCACCACCACGGCCACCGCTACGGTTACCACCACGGTTACCACCACGGTTACCACCACGGTTACCACCACGGTTACCACCACGGTTACCACCACGGTTACTGCCACGGTTACCACGACCACCATCGCCATCTCCATCTGAAGAACTGTCCGAATGATCACTACCACCAGCGCCACCACCAGCGCCACCACTGCCACGAGTGTTGCCCGGGTTTTCCGTTTCGCCACCTCGGCCGCCCATTGCTTCACTCCTCCTCTGACCCACCGGCCGGGCAGCATCATATGCATGGGGTTCGTTTTCCCCAGATCCTGCATCGGAGGGGAGGGATAACGTTTTGGCACTCTGAGCTACGGGAAGCGCAAGAAAGGCACTCTGGTCAATGGTTTCGAGGTGATGGACATGCATACCAGGCTCGGGGATCAGGGACGAGGCTCCCTCAGCCTTTTGACCTCCAATGACACCCGTACCGGGACCGGGAAGAGTCCAGTCTAAAAACGTAGACATGTCAGCATTGTTTTGATAAATCCCCCTGCGTGGGTTCATACCGGTGCCCTTGGCCCCCTCAGATTGTGGGAGGGGGACCAGTTCTTCGGGCTCAAAGCTTCCAATTTCTTCGCCGAGACGTCTTGTAACCCTAACACTCCCTTTCGGCACTCTATGGGCGGACCTACTTTGCGATTCCAATGCCTGATAGTCCCCTTTGACCTTGTTGAGTTCCCTTTCCAGGTTCTCAATCCTCATATCTCGGTCCGCGATGCCTCTTTCCTTAGTACTGAGTTCTTCCTCTTTAGCACTAATCTCTGTTTGCAGTTTCTCGACGTCGTGGATATATTTTTTAGCTTCGCTCAGCAGCTTTTCGTTCAGTCGTTCCATATCGGTGAGTTTGGCTCGATCGGCTTTTGCAGTGCTGACTTCCCGCTGCAATAGTGATTGAACTTCTTCTCTCCTCCTAACCTCTTGTTTTCGAAAGCGCTCGAGTTCTTCGATTCGGGTCTCGGATTTGGCAATTTCATCCTCCATCGTTCGCATCATAATCGAACCCTTTGTATATTGGGACTCGAATTTTTTAGCCTCCTCAGCCAACCTTTCCTTTTCCTTCTGCAATCTCTGGTTTTTGTTCTCAATGGTATAGTACCTCTGTTCCCAATAGGCTGTAAGTTCGGTGTACCTTTGGTTAGCCTGATCAAGCTTTCTATCAACCTCCTCCAGGCGTCTCCGGCGAGTCTCGAAATCCTCCCAAAACTGACGAAACTCTTGAAGAAGGTCCCTAAGATTTTCGACTGTTAAACCACTTAGTGCAGCTGGCTCCAAGGACATCTCAAGCCACATTGGGTTTACAGCCAGAAGCTTGCCCTCCTCTCCCCCTGCCTCATCGGTATTCGAACTCCTTCTCTGCCTTAAACTTTGCTCCTCCGGAGCCGGCTCTGGCCCCGGGAAGTTGACGGGGTTCCTAGCTCTAACAGGAGTGCTAGAATCAATTGGTGGACCTCCAATAAATCCCGTTGAGTCGTCTCCAACACTATCACCACTTTCAGCGTACGGCCTAGGCGAGCTGTGCAATGCATCGAAAATCGAATCCTCTTGTGCGTTGGCCCTCGATGGTGACCGCCTCGGGGAAAGCCTTGGGGATCTGATAAGACCGCTACCAAAGCCCTCGAACGTAGGACTTTTAGAAGCAGACGTATCAATATTGGGTGGAGATGGTTGGCGGTTGGCTAGCTGCTCCTCTTGACCTGTGTTAGTGCTTTGGAGTTCGGTTAAACGATCAATAAGCCCAAATCCCAACATCTTCCGAGCCATAACCTCAAACTCAGATTGCGATAGGGTTAACGAAGGGGCCTCTTCCATTGCGGTTCGAACGGCCATTTCACCATCCGCACCAAGAATTGAGTATGTGGTACAGCCGAAGCCTTTCTCAAGCTCACGAAGAATCGCAACAACATCGCGCACTGCGACCTATCTTGAAGTTAGTAAGGAAGTAGGAAGACTACGAGCGTTGAAATGTATCGTTTACTAAGCCACGGAGTAGCGAAGTTTGGGGTAGAGGAATAACCTACAGAGCCTGTATCAGCAGGATCATATTTATTGAATATGGTTACATAAAACTCTCTTGCGTTAAAAGGATGTGACTCTTTATTCTCTCTCAAGTCCTTCGTGGCTGTTGTATCTGACTCCATTTCAGATGATGAAGCCGAACTGCTTGAAGTACCGTCTTGGGATCCTTCTCGTTCTTTCAACCTTGTCTTCCGATTGGAGGGAACTGGTATTCTCGCAGGCGATCCTATCGCGGTGACAGACGAACTAGCCCCCCCGGGAAATTTAGATTGTGCAGATGTACTCCGACGTAAAGCAGCCGAATTGCGGCCGTTGACCGGACCCGGCGGGGACGGTCTTGGTGCCCTTGAGAGTCCGCCTAAGCCCAATCCGACGCTGAGTCCAACACCTGTCGTTTCAGTGTTATTCTGGTTATTGCTGTTGGTATTGACTTCGTTGCGATACGATGTAGGGCGAGTGGGAGTAGACGTTTGCCGATTATAAGGAGCAGGCCGTGGTATGGAGCTTGGTAGTGGTGCTGATGAAGGACCTGGAGTAGCGGAGGAAGGACGGGGTTTTGATGGATCTCGTCCAGCAGCGGCTTTCAAGTCGCCTGTTGATTTCCGATTCAAGCCTGACATGATTCGAAGTTCTTTGTTTTAAAAGTATATTGTTGTTGTGTTGTGATTTTATGGACGGATAAGTTGGTAAACAAAGGGTAAGCAAGCTTTAATAAGGTGCTTTGTTTGCTTGCATCGGCCGGTGGGATGAAGGTACCGGTAGTGTCGAAGGTATTGCTGAAATTAGTGCGAAAGAGGAGAGGCGTCTGTAGTGTTGCAAAAGAGGCGGCGGGTCAAATCTGAGAAGGCGGCTTAATTCCGAAGACACTCGATTTTTCTGATTTCTTTCTCTCTTCTCCCTCCTCTCCTTGTTCCCTTTGCGGCTGGTAGGGAGCAAGATGGAATAACTGGAGGGGGCTGGGAAAGCCTACCTTTGCGAACCTGTAGCGCAGCTCCAGTTTGTTGGTGACTGTGGTTGTTGACGAGGACAACACTCGCCTGGTGTAGCTCCAGTCCAGCCGGAGATCCCCCAGAAGTCGCGATGTTTTGACCAGGAAAACCCCTAACCCTGAGAATTCTAGCCTATCACCGCCAAGACTCTCGTGGAAGTGCGTGCTCCTCGAGATGAGATTGATTACCAAGCAAACACAGACGCTAACTGTTTTAAGATGGAATTTACTCTAGGACTGAAGAGAGTTGACCAGATGGGGCAACCGCAGCGCTCATGGTCGTGTAGGAACCCCACGATAGGATAGGACTCCCTCTGAGAATACCGATGAGAGAGAGAAAGAGGACCACTTACTAATAGCTGGCTGACTGATGCTCATCTACCCGTCAGTGTTGAATACCTCGCTTGTACTGACCAACCATCATCGGAAGGAGAAGAGAAAATTGGTTGCACCTTCGACAAAACTCAGCTCGGAAGCAGGGAGATAATAATACTTATCTCTCTGTATTCTACGCCATAGCCTGGTGCCTTGACCTAGAGCTCGAATACTCAGAGGAGCAGTCCTACAGCCGGAAATACACAGGCAAACACTCCCAGATTATTACTCCACCACTTTCTACCTCCCACCCCGTCCGGCATGTTTTCCTCCCTCTTACAGAAAGCCACAGCCCTCATAACAGATGTTCCTCCTGCATCACCAGCCTCCCCAACTTCTTCCAGACCGACAAAGACCACCCTCTTCCGCAACCACTTTCGTCTTCCCGATTCGCAGACACCACTCCAAGAGATAACTTGCGAGCTTACACTTCCATCTGGAGACCACTATGTTGGCAAACTCTACCTCTCCGAGAGCTTCCTCTGCTTTTCCCCAAACCCTCCGAGCTCTTCGGCGGCGGCCTCCGCGACCGCCGGTATTGGCTTCACCCTTCCGCTATGTGCTATCCGTCGGGTTGAGCGTCTACATTCAAGGAGCTACATGTTTGCTCTAGCCATTACCACCTGGCATGGGGTAGCTACTTCCACATCGTCAGGGGGGAAGGAAGAACGGGTGACGTTGCAATTTGTGGGCATGAGGAGCTCATGCGAAGCATTTTGTGATAGGCTCAAGCGTGGTTTGAGGTCCCAGATGGGAGAGGTCAAGAATCTGAGGATTCTTGTTGACAGCTGCTATAGTGAATATCTGCTGGGCAACATCGGCGGCTATGATGGCGTGAAAAGAAGCACAGACGGTGCCGGCGCCGACGATAGTAGGAAAAAGGATAGGGATCCACCGGATGCTGGTTTGGGAATGATTTTCAAATATCCCGGTGATACAAGAAAGTTAAGAGATAGGAGCAAGATGAGATTGTGGGCAGAGTATTTAAGAGGCATGCCACTCCGAAATCTGCGGACACTCAATGCGGTATTTTTAAACTAACGTTGGTGTAGAGAACGGTCGGAACGTAACGCTCGTTAGACAGCCCACATTTCATAAGCTTATCAGAGTTGGTCTTCCGAATGTAGGTTTTGTCCAACAGTATTGTATAGTGTGGTAATATTAGGGATTAACACTTCCACAGCGATTACGGGGCGAAATGTGGGAGTTATCTTCTGGCTCCATCTACCTGCGGCTTTTCAATCCAACAATGTACCGCGATATCCTTCAGGAATATGATGGACGGCATTCACACTCAATCGAAGAAATTGAGAAAGATCTTAATCGCTCCTTGCCAGAATACCGTGGATTTCAGGACGATGAAGGTATTTCTAGGCTGAGGCGTGTGCTTGGAGCCTACTCCTGGCGGAACGAAGAAGTCGGGTACTGTCAAGCAATGAATATTGTTACCGCTGCATTGTTGATGTAAATTCGTCCTATCATTAGCTATTATAGCTCTAAGTTTCTAACACCAGACATAGATACATGTCCGAGGAACAGGCTTTTTTTCTCCTCTCAACCCTTTGCGACCGCTTAGTCCCAGGATACTACTCGAAGACAATGTACGGAACTCTTCTAGATCAAAGGGTCTTTGAATCCTTGGTAGAAAAAACCATGCCAATCCTTTGGGAGCACCTTGTCAAATCTGATGTTCAGCTTTCGGTCGTATCATTGCCTTGGTTCCTTTCCCTTTACATTAATTCTATGCCCCTGGTATTTGCTTTCCGTGTTCTGGATGTATTCTTCTTGGAGGGCCCGAAGGTCTTGTTTCAAATCGGCTTAGCAATACTACGGATAAACGGGGAAGAACTCCTTGATGCTACCGATGATGGTGCTTTCATCTCCATCCTTAAGAGCTATTTTTCGCGCCTAGACGAATCAGCACATCCCAGATCCGAAAACGAGAAATTGCGAGCTGTCACCAGATTCCAGGAATTAATGGTTGTGGCGTTCAAGGAGTTCGCAGGAATTACACAGAACACAATAATCGAGCAAAGGAACAAGCATAAAGATGCAGTCTTATCCTCGATAGAGAGCTTCGCAAAGAGAACCCAATTAAGAAATCTTGGTCCTGATAGTAGGCGCCTGACTCCCGAGGAATTGAGTTGCGTTTACGACCGGTATTTTGGGGTTTTGTACGAGCGCCAAGGAAGATTACAAATGATTGCGGACGAAATGGAGAAATTAGCCACAAAAAAGAAAGCTGCTGCGGGAAGTGGTGTAGGTGGAAACGGGGGCGAAAGAGGAAGGGTGGGGTTGGGGCCAACCACTGGGGAAACGGGAATGGATTACGATTGTTTCAGAGAGTTTCTAACCGGAATCGCCAAGTGGGCTGTTGCTGGCTCGGCCGTGAACACTCCAGCCGAGCCTACACAACCGGAGCAATCTGGGTTTTTTGGTTCATATGGAGGTACTACTACTGCTCTACAGCGCAAAAATCTGCTCAACCCTTGGGGAGCGGGGAACCCCGAACCCGCCGATCACGAGTTCATGAAACGACTGTTCCGGCGCTGGGATACAGACATGAAGAACCAACTGAGTCTTGGAAACGTTGTCAGCGGTCTGGCGAGTGTTGTTGGCGGAAAGAAGGATATTATGGGCAATATTAATTACTGGTTTGAGCTTTATGATGACGACGGAGACGGGAAAGTCGACAGAGAGGGTATCTTAAGGATTACTGAAGCTCTTCTATTCGTTACAAGACGCGGTGATGTGGGCGGGGGTGACGGTGAGGAAGCAGAGTGGGGAGACGAGAGGATTTTGAGCGCAGTCAGCGGATTCACTAGAATGTGCTTTGAGTACGCGGACCCGGACCGACCAAAGGAAGAGGAGAATGTAATTAAAGTGGATCAAGACGTGGAGGAAGACGACCTCCTAGAGCTAGCCGCTTCATCCTCGGACGAAGATCCACTGGACACCCCTAAAACAATCAGTCCAGGTGAAGGAAGCCCCACAACACCAGTTCCTAAAGACAATGCGAAAGCCAACTTAGCCCTAGATCCTTCGAACCCACTTCATATTACCCTCCCTACTTTCCGGATGGTCATACTTGCCGATGAGGTTCTTGAACGTTTCTTTGAGCGCGGCTTCGCGGAGAGCTTCAGGTTAATGCCTGGAAGTGAGCCGCAGGCTGCCTTAGCAAATCCGCGACTCATGGCTCGAATGCCCTCCACACCACTCACTCCCGGGAACGCCAAGGGGCTTAGAGGTGTACTTGATGGAATCGTGGATGAGGGAATGAGAGTTGCGGCAGAGGTAAGGAGAAGAATGGAAGAGATGGAGGATAACAGAGAAGAGGATGGAGAAGAGGGTGAAGCTGCAGATGCAAAGAGTATCAGAGAGGGTGATCGAGACCTTCTCAGGGGGGCAGAGGCGGACATTCAGGAAGGGCAGGGACAGACGGAGGAATTACAGGTTGAGAAGGGAGAAGCGAGAAGGGGGGAAGGGAGAGGTAGAAGCATCAGCTACGGTGATCAGGTTAACAGCGGAGTGGTAGAATTCGAAAGTTAAATAATTTGTGTGCGAAGTTTCAATCGCAAACGCTGGAGGGAGTTGGGTGTGTATTTGATATTATCTTCTTTGTTGTCTCCTTACCATCCTCCTTATAGTTGTTAATTTTGTCCCCGCTTTTGTATGAGTTTCTAGGGAGAGAAATTTAAGGAAAGGCGTAGATGCTGATCTGATCGGCAGAAGTCGTTCTCTCTTTTCTCTTCTCCCTTGGAAAAAAAAGAAAGAAATATATACCGCAATAAAAGAAACCAGCAGTAGCTGAACAAGCAAATACCGCAATAATCTTCCAGCTCCCGTGTTCAAACACACGCACACACTTTTCGATTCAACCACCCATCTATACCACGATATCCCACTGCCCCCATCTGTCCGTCCATCCATCATCTCAAATTCCACACCTAATCGTCATATCCAGCAGGAATCCTCCGCGGTCGGTTCGGTACTAATCAAAACATTAGCCTCCCTCCACCAAGCTCGGCCAACCATGACGACGGACCTGGATAACTGAGTGGAATAGGGGGCCTATCCCAGCCAAGCCTTTTCCTAGCCACAACCCCACCAAAAAATATGAGCGGTCCTTGAACCCCGATCATGACGGACCAGAATAGCGCTGGGTGTTGGTGTGCCGCATAGCGCATGTAACGGAAAGGCTGCGCCCAGAAGTATGGTGTTGACATGTTTGCCAGCAAGGTTTTTTTCTTTCTCTTTTTTTTTTTCTTTTTTTTTTTTGTAGATAGGGAAGAGGTAGGTGGGTAAGTAGGATTTCTCGGAACAGGATGTTGAGATGGAGGTGAAGTGGGGTGAGATGAGGTTGACAAGTTGATGGGGTTGGTGTGATATTTACTTGTAGTGGGGGAGGGATCTGAGGTTTAAGTAGGGTAACGTTTGTATGAGTAGGGAGAGAAGTTGCTTGGTGGTTGGTGGTTTGGGCTTAAATCTGGTTGCTATCATACATACTCGAGCAGAAAATAAATTTACTGTGCCTGAGTAACCGTGCCAAGGTTCCTGCCGAAATGGTTACTCTACTGTACGGTAATGCGAGCGGTTCACGGTTTCACAGCACGTCTAGTCTAATTTACAGCTTCCCCAACATCTTAACGCCAGATTTGGCTCAACTCCAGATTTTTTAAAACTATGGAGATTATAATAGAAATCCTCAACAATGCTGTCTTATCTGTTCCTGATATCCTCCTAGTCTCAGTTTAGACAATTTGAGCTCTTGAAATATGGGGGCTGATAATAGGTTTCTCGCAAAAAATTTTGAAAGAAAGGATTTTCACGTGGTAGTGCTAACCTGCCGGCATACTACTCCCACTCCCCTGCACCTTTGGAACCATGAGACAACAACAAAACCACATGCTACAACTTGAACGGATAATTCGCCTACCAAATCTTCACGTCACCGCACTCCCCAAGCCCCAATAGTTAAGGAGAGACCCAACTGGTCATTGGTATCTGTAATTTGATGCGTGAAACTTTTGGCGTCAATCGGCAGCGTTATCGATCGGACGAAAGTTCAGTTGGGTCATCGCGAGTGAGCGCAGGAGCCTCTTGTGCTGTACGAGTACAGTATTTTTCTTGCCTCCAAAACTTTCGAATGATCGACTAACACCAACATCCAGACTTAACGGAAGCCTGCAGTTACGGGTCTAACGCTGCCTAGTCCCTTCTAAGTCCAGATCCACTACTACGGTAACTTGGGGTGGGGCGGATCGCAGGTCATACCAAGGGGGAGAAACTTGCCATCATGGCTGTTCCGCTTGTTGGGCGGCTCCATCAGTATTATCCCTATCTCACATGATACTTGTTTCTCAGTTTTCACCCGTGGGGCAGTCCCATTTCCGGGGTGTTCTTTATTTTCCTTTCGGTTTGTAGTTCGTGAGTGGATAGTTGAAGTTTCGAGTCTCGTTCGTATTGTCTTGGCTCAATTTTGGCTTGCTAACAAGTTTATTGCCGACATTATTTGTAGCATGGAGTATTTAGCTCTTCTCTTTTCGTTTTTATTCCTCATCTTCGAAAGCATCATTCGGGTTATTACTTTGGCGTTGCGTAAGTATTTTTCCTACACTTTCCTTAAGTTCTGTTGATTGCTAACTCGGGGTACGGTATGTCTTAGCGGCGTCGGTCATCAATTTCTGTTATACCAAATCACGCTCGTTGTTTAATTCCTTTTCATCAAGAAAGTATACTACAGTCTCTAGCTCTAAACAGGAGAAGGATATTGTCGCCCATGTAAGGAAGGCGGATGGTTTTACTGAAATATGTGAGATTTGGAACAAGGGTGACTGGATTGTTGAAGAACACGTTGTCCAGACTGGCGATGGATATCTTCTAGGTTTGCACAGGCTGCGGAAGAAGGGTGTAAGGGGAAATAGGAATCATAGAAATTGGGATTCTGGGAAAGGGGATGGTGGAAGAAAAGTCGTTTATCTGCATCATGGTGGGTTTCACATTGACAGTAGGGAATTTGATTGGTTTTTTTTTTGGTTAACGTTTCTTGTTATCAGGATTGCTTATGAATAGTGAGGTTTGGGTTTGTTTATTGGATAAGGAGCGTTGTCTTCCGTTTGTCCTTGTTGAGAAGGGGTTTGATGTTTGGGTATGGTATTCTTTGCAATGGCGACCTAGTGCATTTCTAACAGTCCGAAGCTTGGGAACAACCGTGGGAACAAATATTCTAAAAAATCGATCTATCATCCATCCTCGTCTCCTAAATTCTGGGACTTCAGTATGGATGAGTTTGCGTTCCACGATATTCCGGACTCAATAAACTACATCCTGTTGACATCTAAGCAGAAGAGCTTAAGCTATATCGGATTCTCACAGGGAACAGCACAGGCTTTTGCTACCTTAAGTATTCATCCGGACCTGAACGAAAAGGTCGATGTTTTCATTGCTCTGGCCCCTGCTATGAGCCCTGAAGGCCTATCAAATCCTATCGTTGATGCCCTTATGAAAACAAGCCCTAATATAATGTTTTTGTTTTTTGGGCGGAAGAGCATTCTGAGTTCGACCGCTTTCTGGCAGAGCATTTTATGTAGGCACTTGAACCCCCTACTCGCAGATTTATGCTGACATTCTCTTAGACCCTCCAATATTCGTTCGTGTGATTGATGTTGCCCTCAAATTCCTCTTCAACTGGTCCGGGTCCAATATATCTCTTCCCCAAAAGATTGCTGCATACTCAAAGCTTTACTCTTTTACCTCTGTTAAGAGTGTGGTACACTGGTTTCAAATTATTCGCAATAAGTCCTTTCAGATGTATGATGACGACATACAATCTCCCATAGCTGCTTTCGCTGGTAAAGGCTTTTACAAAGTGGCAAAGTTTCCGACTAGAAACATCACTACGCCGATTACTTTGGTTTATGGTGGTAAGGATAGTTTGGTGGACATCGATGTCATGTTGAGGGAATTACCCGGGCACACAGTTGCGAAGGAAGTTGAACATTATGAACACTTGGACTTTCTGTGGGCAAAGGACGTTCACAAGCTGGTCTTTCCGCATGTCTTGGAGGCTTTGGGAGCCTACACTGCTGGCGGTGAAAGGGGAAAAACAAGCGAATTTCACCCGAAGCTAGTTTCAAATTGCAGCGCTCAACCTTCCTCTCCGCTAACAGATGGCATTGTAGCTCGGGGCGCCGGAGGACATAATGGATTGCCCTCTTACTCGGATGATGAGCGGGATGCGTCGTCTTCGCTTGCAGGTGCTCTTGGTGCACTACTGGTCCCGTTCTCAAGGTCCAACTCTCCCGCAGAGCCATTAGTCATTGGAGACCCTATCCTAGACCATCCAGAAGATATTGTTAAACCTTTAGCCCCCTCTAGTGAGCGAGTCGTTTCACCGGAAACCAAACTCACGATGCCGATCCGTATCAATAACCCTCAACCCCATTCCCGGAGATCTGGAAGTGTCTCAAGCACAGATAGCACTAGCAGAAGCCTTATTGGTCCTGCGGGTATTGCTTTAGGCGCTGGGAGACCATCAACCGCTAGCGTATCTACGGGGGTTCTGGTAGAAGCCAGCCCTAGCGGCAAGAGGAAGGAGAGGGGAAATAGCGTCGGAAGTGCGGCTGTGGGCTTAGCACAGCGGAGCAGTACCTGGGCTCAGCCCTAGTTGATAGGATAAACTGTGAAGCTTGAGGTTGTAAACCATTGGTTAAGGGGCGTGTTTTTTTGTTTTTTTTGGCTCTAAGCGTAGATAATTGTTCTTTCTTTCTCTCTTTTACCCGGCAAATTGCTATTCCACCGGCATACTGTACCATTGTATTATCAAGCCTATTACCGACCAGGCAGTGTTTGTAGCGCTTCCGTATTGTCTTCCCAGGAATTGTGGGCACTCGAATACATAATATAAAGCTGTACGAGTGTTATACCACTCAACATTTTTCCCAAGATAGCTCCCATCTCAGACCTGATTGACACAAATAAAAAACTGTTATCGATGGAGAACTTCACGTAGGAACCCTAAAGAATATTGAGTTTGGAAGCGAAACCTAGAAGGCAGACTATTCCCGGAGGAAAAAAAAGGCTTGCCATGTTTTCCAGATGGCGGCCATTGCGCTAACTTGAAATGGAATTACTCATAAGAGACCTAATGATAAATAAGGGTAGGAACCCATTTTTCTATAGGGACGCATTCCCAGGCAGCTCAGTTGATTCCCCATTTTGTGCACAGAAAAAGAAGGCCCGATTTTGGGGGATCGTAGCTTCAAGGTTGACCGACCAGTTGTATCCAAGTTTCAGGACTCCCGGGTCTCCCCAAATCCGAACGAGGGGGGGTGGTTCAAATTCAGAACCCAGAAGTCGACTTTCCAGGCTTTTGGCTTTTCCGAAATCCCTTACTGTACTAGTACCTGTGCAGGAAGGTCCCCCTAGCGATGTCACATGGGAAGGACCCAAACTCGGTATCCTGCGCCGCACCAGCACACCACCCCGCTGGGGTGATATTATCTGTTCCTGTGCGGTATCAAGGCTGTGCGTCACAAGAATTCCAAGCCTACATGTAGGTAACTTAGCGCACGCCACGCATCGGGATATATATAATACATCTGAAGACAAACCTCCTTTTTCAAGCTACGGTTAAGCAAATGATTGCGTTGGGGGGACGCTGGTGGACTGGTCCGGATCAAGCACCTTAGCGGCTGGTCATCCCCCTCCCGAAGTAAGGCGGGAGGTTCCGTTTGTTCGCGTCTGCTCGATACCTGCTGGTGTGTACTAATTAACGTATGATATTCGAATTCTTTATTCTGGGGTTTGTGATACTTGTCTGTGATTTGATTTGGTTTGTGGGTAAAAGTTAGTCAGTCAGACGTGGGCTGCAGTCGGGTGTGGTAAGGTCACATCCGAAAACGGGTTATGGGGTTTGATTCCTCCATTTTTAATTCCCAATTTTTGGTTTCTTGCCCCGCTTGCATGTTAGGTGCGGCGGTTGGCGCTGGTGGGAAGTGGTGAAGGTGACTCTCGGCGTAGTTGTTTATGATGTATAAAAACTGCTCTGCGATAGGACAAGCTAGTAGCTTTATAGGAATTTTGGAGGAGTGGAACGCTGAGATCCTGCCCACATCCTTGTGCTTCCCAGGATCGCTGTGCAAAGCCTGCGGCAATTCATGAGAATAAAAGGCGGTCCAGAGGTAATCCACCCCGAGTCCTAATGCCATACCAATGTTATATGCCGGTTCGGCGATACCAAAATATAGAATAAATTATATTGAAATACCAACGGCAGTTGTTCCGTGGCTTTGCGGAATGGTCCTACACCACATTGTTTTAGTAAATCAAAACTTCGCCAGTTGGGTGGCTCCAGCTCCGCAAGAGCTCCCAAATTTTAAGGAGCCTACTAACTTAATACGGTACGATATCTGGGCGGTATCGTAGCCTAGTAGACCGCAAATGTGACTCTCCATTCCGGTATCAATGTACTGCAATCCTAGGCGCCTTTGTGGACTTGTCTTTTCCATTGAGATACCGCTATCGTACCGGTACATCCCATACCTTGTTGGTGGCTTGGAGGGACATTATGCGAACAGAGGGAATTGATTCGAGGGGTGAGGTCTCGGCCCGCAGGCCGGTTGGAGCATGTCGGGCGAAACTGCACCATGACAAAATGCCGCAGCTTGCTTTAGGCTTGTTACATCTACGGATGTGACGGTGGGATACCGGGAAAAGGCTGATAAGAGCAGAACCGACTTTAATTGGCCAACTCCCCTCTAAATCGCGTTGAGTACCTAGTTCAGTAGATGATAATTTTGGGGAACTTTTTGTCGTGAGTCGGAGCCGCCGTCGCTTCCGGGGACAGCCGGTCCTTCGATCGACGACTACCCTACCGAATACCGCATATTTCCGTAAAATGTCGGATTCGCTCTCGGGGAGGGGCTGCCTTTGCCCTCGTTGTTTCTTTTGAGTCTGGCGATTTGGGGTCCTTGCCCTCTCATTGGCTCGATGGTCCCTAGGTTAGCTCTGATCTGACTTTTACGAAAAGATACGGAACGTTTAAAGGAACACGCCTCGGACAGCATGGGGGATAGGGCAATTCTCAAGTGCTACCTGGCGGTGGGCATTGGCGTCAGAGCACCAGGTCGGACACAGACTATGTCACTTTTCAGAGGGAATATCTGCAAGTGTGAACAGCGGGGAGCACTTTTAGTGGTCTTGGGAGAACTAACTCGCCCCATACACCCATCTGCCTCTCGAGATCACCTCCCGCTTCTGCGATTCGACGGATTTGATAAGTCTCAGGTTCGTAGATACCCGGATACCAGGGTTAGTCCGCGAACATTCCTAATGAATGGGCGTTTCTGATCTGCAGTTGAGCCTGTTGATTGCAACAAGAAGAAACTCCGTGAACGCTTGGCGATTGCCTATTTGCCGCAAGGTGTATCTGTGGCAGTTTGACCACCAATACGACGGTGCTCGCGGATTAACTCCATCCGAGCACAGTACTTATCCCAGGCCATGGGTACCCGAAAACGAGGGAGGGATATATTTCGTATTGGCGCTCTGATACGTACTCGAGTACTGTACCTTACCGGTGCAGATTTTTTACCATTTTTTCTTTAATCCCTGTTTAGGGCACTTATGGCACGGGATAAGTATGGCGTTTATATCTCAAACTACGTCTGCCATGCTCTGGCACGCTATACAAGCAAGTGCTGTAGCGATGTGCTGGGATGACCCAAGTTGTGTCTACAAGTGATAAGGAGCAGATAGGAAGCCTTTAGAATTGACAATTCTTCCAGATCCGATGGTCAGGCAAGAAAGTGGCACGGACCAGGGGTGTTGATGTTGGTTTTGGTCAAAATCAGTGGACACCACAACTTGCTCAACTGAAAACACAAACCCAATGGGGAGCCTAGAGTGAGATTTGGGGGTTTTTTTTTTTGATATACCGTAAAAACTCGAATAGAAGAAAAATGTGCTTTGAAGTCTGTTTAAAGTGAGTCATGCTAAGAGGCCAGGATAGTCACGCCAATACAAATTACGAAACATAAGACATATAAAATCTAAAAATACGTTTCTTTTTTAATCAATTTCACCGATAATATATTCCCTATTAAGCTCATCCTGAGCAATATTCAACTCCAACTCTTTATTCTGATCTCCCACCCCTTCATGATTCTCTACAACAACCCCACTGCCAACAGCTGCCCCCTGTGCCTATCCCTTGACTCCTTCAACAAACAAGGATATCTCAAGACCCTTGATCAAGATCTCAGAATCTCGACTTCCATCAATCGGAAGAGAGAGGCCAACAGAGGTAAAGGCTCTCTCAACCACATGAGCATGGTTGAGGGAAAACCTTTCCTAGTCCTCCCAGACTGCCCATATGCAGAGCATCCGCCTCCTTCCTACCATGCTTCCCAGAAGCCATTTCCTGTCCGACAATATTCTCTCCTCCTCCACCTTTGCCATATCAATCATTTCCTTAAGCACTTCCTATCTAATAAATAAAGTTAGCTGCAAGTTCGATAAGTTCCCCCTTCCTCTTTAGTAGTTGAGTTTTAGTGTTACTAACATTAAGAATATCTTTAAAGGGTCGGTTGATAGTTATATTGAGGGGCTGCACAAGGCCAGTGCAGCCTCCTGGTATCACACTAACTGTAATATCATGCACATGCATAGTATCCAAAACCTCATCGATTTTGTGAGCATCCAACATATCCAAGGCAATTAGCATTGGCCAGTCACCGAGTACAGGTATACCTACTCGTCTAGCTATTCAACCAAATTGGATAAATTGGCATAGGCCTTCAGGTTGAATTTTACAACAACCTGAAGGTCATACTATTACTTTTTAGCAATAATGGTTACTCCTACTCCTTGCCTCCAAAAAAAGATGAGGGGCTTGACTTGAGGTATTACATCGGCAAAGATGGTGAGTTGAATCGTTGCCTGCCTTTTATCCTATCCTGACTGCTGATTGGCTGGAACTCAAATTGTCTTCTCACCTTGCTGATTATAAGTACGGCCACTTAGGTACTCAAATGGCAGTGGAGTTTGGTCTATGTTACAGATATACTTAATCTATAATGACCAACCTCTGCTGCCACATCAGCTGCTGATATATTTTTACACCTTAATTGTGAGTTTCTTTGATTGAATCTCATTCAATTTACTGATGCTTCCATAAAGTTTCTAGGAAGCTGACTGGCTTGGTTAGTGATTGCACAAAGAGAGATTTTGTGCCACAATAAGAAACCCCGAAACCAACCATTTGAAAATCGAAATTGACTAATACTTGTACTTTGGTAGGTTTCAGCATAAAGCCATTTCATATTTTGCCAAAACCAACTTCAGCGAACAACTTTTCCTTCTGCCTGGCATTTGCGAAAATACTCATAGAGCTTTCACTCTATATCTACCCACTTCCACCCCCTTCCACCTCCTACTAGCCCACATGATATAGCTGATACTTCTAGGTATTTCCCCTCCCCCTCTTCCTTCTACCATCTCTCCAGATTCTCTAATGGAATCCTGAATCTTGTAGCAACTTCCTGCAATGTTGGCTCTCGAAACATGATCAGTCATGAAGGTATTGAGACTATACGAAGCCAAGAGAGTACCTAAAGCTTATAGTTGATTGTATACGACTTCTGAGAATTCTCAATGGCATTTGAG